GACTCTCTTGAACCCATACCATAAATAGAACGTATGGCTCTCTTTTGTAAAATTAATATAATATTTATATCGGCTGCTTTACCCCATAGTAGTATACCATATGACATAATGCTATGGAAATAACTAAAGTATACAAGTTTAGCCGTCGCCACGTCTGTTAATTGCCTAATTCTTCTAATTGCATATGCAGCTGAACTGAGTCTATTGGCCAATTTTGAAATATGGGGCCCCCATTGTAATTTCGAGTCCACTGTTATACCTAAAAAAAACTGTATCATTAACAAAATTTACTATTTCGTCATTAAGCAATAACTGTGTATTTATTGGTCTTACATTAGGAAGTGTAAATTTTATACACTTTGTTTTGCTGGAATTTAATAATAGGTTATTACATGTAAACTAATTTAATATAGCAGACATAGCACAATTTACATCGTCTAATTGATTGGTTTGACGTCCAATTTTAAACACTAACGAAGTATCATCCGCAAACAGCACTATATCTGCAATTTTCTCTACCATAAAGGGAAGGTCATTTATGTAAATTAAAAAGAGAAAGGGGCCTAAGATTGACCCTTGTGGAACGCCCATCCCAATATTAGCTCCCTTAGATTTTATACCGTCAATATCTACAGTTTGGACCCTATCCTCTAAATAAGTTCTCATTAATTTTAGATCATTATCTTTTATACCATAATGTTCGAGCTTGTACAAAAGTGTTTTATGATCCACGCAATCAAATGCCTTTGATAGGTCACAAAAAACTCCGAGTGCATCCTGTGACTTCTCCCATGATTGGAAAATATGTGTTATCAGCGCTACACCTGCGTCAGTGGTAGACTTGCCGGCGGTAAAACCATATTGTTGACTGTGAAGCAGTCGGTTATCCCTGAAGTGTTGTAACATTTGATTTAACATTATCTTTTCAAACACCTTACTTAGAACTGGCAAAATAGATATAGGTCTATAGTTCCCTGGCTCAAATTTATCTCCTGATTTAAATAGTGGGATTAATTTGCTAAATTTCATTAATTGTGGAAAAGTCCCATTATCAATACATTTATTAAAAATAGTAGCTAGATATGGAGCAACAATATCTATGAAAGAACTAACTACTTTTACAGACATGCCCCAAAGGTCTTCTGTATTTTTTAAATTTAGATGTTTGAATATTTTTATGATATGAACGGGGCTAACATGTGAAAATTTAAATCTTAAAGCACAACAACCGATATTAGACTCTAGTAATATTTTTGCTCGAGATGGAGATGAGTCCAGAGAAGATGTAATATTAATCGGAATATTAGCAAAAAAATCTTCAAAAACATTAACTACATCTTTTGTTGCTGTTATTAATTTATTATCATAATTTAATGCAAATTGATTATAGGCTAATTTAGATCTTCCGGTTTCTTTATTTATAATGCCCCAGATGGTTTTAATTTTGTCAGAAGACTGGTTAATTTGTTTATTAATATAATTAGATTTAGCCGTAATACAAACTTTTTTAAAAATTTTTGAATAATTTTTCACATAAGTGGTGAATTTGTCATCAAATCGATATTTTTTTTGATCGTATAAATCAAACAAAATATTTCTACTTTTAAGTATACCTACTGTTGCCCATTCCGTGAATTTAGATTTAACATAAACTTCTTTTTTCTTGAAAAATTGTTCATATTCTCCTGATAGAATAGTAATTAGCTTGGTGTAAAGATAATCAGGATTATTACTATATTGTAACAGCAAATCCAATTTATTTTTAATCGCGCTTTTGTATTTGTTAATATTGTAAACATTTATTTGTCTTTTTGATTTTTTATTATTGTTGACTTTATTGATCTGACTGTTAAACTTAACAACTTGACCACAGTGATCTGAAGGAAGTTTATTTATTATGAATTTTTCTGTATACTCACAGTTACAAAAAACATTGTCAAGACAAGTAGCAGACGTGGCAGTTACACGAGTGGGTTCATGAAAGACATGACTTAAATCAAATGACTGAAATAAACTAATAATTTTTGTACATGTGGGTGTGTTACAAAGAATATCAACGTTAAAATCTCCACATACAATAATTTTTTTAAGACTATTAAATATTTTTATTAAAATATCCTCCATCACCCCTTCAAAAACATTGTAATCACTATTAGGAGGCCTGTACACACATATAAGGATATAATTTTCTAGTTCTATACAAGATAATTCTATACAACACTCAATAGAAAGTCTAACAATGTCAGCACGTTCCTTTACTTTAATATTATTTCTTGCAATTATCATAGACCCGCCTCTGTTAACTGACTTTCTATTGAAGCAGCTGACAACGTTATAATTATTTAAATTGAACATCATATTGCTCTCTTTAAGCCAATGTTCTGTGAAACAGACAATATCAATATTATACTTTTCTAAAAATAATTGTATAATTAACTCGCTGCCGGGAAAACTTTGTATGTTCTGATGAACAATTATTAATTCTGATTGCTTTCCCTTTGTCTTTGTGAGCAGTTTAAATCTGCAGTCATAGTATTTAAGTCACAAATATTAATAGAATTATTTGTTATGTCAGTATTTTTATGTTTAAGTTTACCATGTAAACTGTTCATGTAGTCAATATTATAAGCCACTAAAGTGGCTATTTTATTTTTAGATGATTTAGAGAGATACATTGTATCTTTTGTCAAATAAAAATCACTAATAAAACTATTAGTATCAAAAAATGTAAAAATGTCACTATGACGACATGTCAACATATGTAATAAGTTATTCAGGTAATGTACCTTACTGTTAATTTTTTTATGAAGATGTCTATTTGTGTAAGGAAAAGCGCACAATACAATCTTATACACATTTAATTGCAATAAATATTCAATTCCTTTAATTACATCCTGCCTATTTAATTGAATACTATTACCAAAAAATAACACAATTGTGGTCATATTGTTCATTTTTATAGATTTAATTTTATTTATTATTTGTGTAAATGATGCTTCTGGCATACAGTAGTTTAATAAATCACCCTTAAGATGATACTTCAAAATAGATCCAAAGTTACAGCCTATTCTGTCAGAGAACACCATTGTGCTACTCTTAGGGTTACAGTCACTGGCACAAACACCCTGAACTTCATTTTCCAGCACAGTTATAACTGAATTATTATTTGATATATTTGTGTGATTACATGTACAATGCTTAGTCAACGACTCAAAACGGTCAGCATTGTATTTACTGACATCAATCAGATCATCCATTGCTAAAATATGCTCCTGGATTTGTTTCTGAGAGATAATATACTTTGTATTTAAATCATGAAGTGAAGATTCTAAACTATTGATTTTTGAAGTTAGGTAGTCTGTATCAATGTCATATAACTTTTGGCTTTCCAATAACTTATTATTACACTTATTAATATAATCATGCAATTTTAAATTATTTAAAGTATTTCTTTTCAATAACTGACCCTTTTTACAACGCTTATTTAATATATTCCGAGTCCTAATAATAAACTTTTTTAGTTTTAAATATTTTTTTAATTTATTATGACTCAACATACAAATGTTATTGTTATAGTTGCCTAATTTAGGAGATGTATCACTAGTAAGGTCAATCACAACAGGATGAGTGTATGGAACTGTAGTCGCAGGAGGCACACAGTCAACACTAATAAGTTCCTCATATAAATTACTAATCTCATTACTTCGCTGAGATTCCAATCTTGTGTCTAGATCATTAATTTTAGAATAGGCCTGCTTTAACTCAAGCTCCAATTCAGTGATACACCTCAAGGCTTGCTCATGGGTGTCACTACACTGATGAAAGCTACTTATTAGTTCTTGAAGCTGATCCCGCTGCTCAATAACTTCCTGATGACTATTATGAAGTTCTGACAGTTCAGATTTTAATAGTGTATTTTTATTTATAATTTTTAAAATTTCATCTTCACTCTCTTCTCTCTCCCTGATCAACTTGTCACTAAGATCTTTGGATGCCTGAAGTTCTTGTAGAGCTACTTTAAGCTTCATCTCTGTCTGCCGTGCAGTTGTGGAACGGGTAGATAGTGACATTATTGAATATATGAATAGTTACTAGGGAGAGTGAAGTGAGTTATTTCTAAAAGAAACAAAGTATCACAACGAAACAGCAACTGAACCTTACTTATTTTAAGTCTTAAAATTTTTAATTATTTCTGTTAGATATATTATATACAACCTATATTTTATAAGATTAAGTAAATGGAATTAGATTGTGCTCCTTTCCTTCAAATTATATTAATACAAAACATAAAATTACTTACAATATATTTTGTGGGTAATTTTTTTTCCTTCGACGTACGCAACAACTGAACTTCACAATTATTAATATTAATTTAACTTGATATGAATATTTTGTATAAAACTTGTATATATTATGAAATTCTTTGAATAACTCCAACAAATAGTTATAGAATAGTTTTAAATATTTAGTTGTTTACCAACGAAAGAAGTTTGACAGATGGCCGGTACACTATTTTTTAATGTCGATTTTTGCAAATAATACACCTCCAATTTGTACACAAACAATAATCGACACTTATTGCACTATTAAATCACTAATAATGATATCGGAACTATAATATTCGTGTGATAAACTATTAAAAATTATTTATTTATTACGGCCAGCTGATAAAGACAACTGTCGTTGGTGTTGCCAGTCGAAGAAAAAAACAGCATCAAGCGTAAGGAGCAAGCGGGTACAGCATTCCATTATCATTTTTATCATAAACTAGCTTTTGCCCGCGGCTTCGTTCGCGTTAATTTATCCCCTTAGGGGTGGAATTTATCAAAATCCTTTCTTAGCGGATGCCTACGTCATAACATCTACCTGCATGCCAAATTTCAGCCTGATCCGTCCAGTGGTTTGGGCTGTGCGTTAATAGATCACTATGTCACTCACCTTTGAGTTATATATGTTTAGATAAATATGTATGTTATTTACATACGGTTTTTTAATTCCAGGACGATGTTTGCTACGTCGTAGCGAAATATGACTACACGGCGCAGGGTGCGCAGGAGTTGGACCTCCGTAAGAACGAGCGGTACCTGCTGTTGGACGATTCCAAGCACTGGTGGCGTGTGCAGAACGCGCGCAGCCAGTCTGGATATGTTCCCAGCAATTATGTCAAGAAAGAGAAGCCATCACTGTTCGACAGGTTTGTATTTTCTTCTCATATAGATAGGTAGTCCGTAGGGTAGTAAGTAATTGATCCAGTTTGATATTATTTTTAAAAGAAGTTTTTGTTTTCAAAAATAATCATGTATTTGTAACATATTTATTACAAGATATCCTCAACTCTATTTTTGGTATTCAAACAAAAACGAGCCAAACCAGCTAAATTCTAGATTAGTGTAATGGTAAGTAGGGGACATAATAAAAAAAGCACGCCTGAGATTTACATTCATAGAAACTGTCAATGTTCTTACATATGTTCCTAATATGATAGGGCTAATAACAGCTTTTATTTGGGCTGAGTCTTTGGTTGTTATTGTATTTTTATCGATATTGGTTGTTATACAACCAATATCTTATCGATATATCGATATTTGAACTTTGAATCAATTTTTCTCGAAAAATTTATATAGTCGATTATTTTATTATCATCACTTGCAGTATTAAGAAGAAAGTGAAGAAGGGGTCCGGGTCGAAGACGCTGCCGTCGAGCAACTCCCCGGTGCGCGGCGGGGCGGAGTCCCCGGCGTCGGCGCGGCGCGCGGAGCCGGCGGAGGCGCTGGGCACCGCCGTCGTCAAGTACAACTACCAGGCGCAGCAGCCCGACGAGCTCGCCCTCACCAAGGGCACGCGCATACTCATACTCGAGAAGAGCAACGACGGCTGGTGGCGGGGGCAGTACCAGGGACACACCGGCTGGTGAGTACCGCCCTCTGTAGACTTCCATGTACCCCACCCACGTATGGAATTGAAGATATCTAGTAACCGGGGGCACCGGTATCCCCTTCGATAGATTCAAACGGAGATTGAAAATACGAAGCCCTGAGCCGAGGTTCGAAGTTCGAACATATAGCAGTGCCCTCATACAGATAAAGTAGGTACGTGTGTAGACGTAATAGTAATAAATTTTATTTGTAAAAGATAAAGAATGTTTGTATTAAGCAGTCAGCCGCTCCAAAATCCTTCCGCGGGTTTGGAGTGCCATCTTTGTTTTTTATCCACCACTCGTTCTAAATTTTTACAAGTCGAAACGTGTGAATACAAACTACCAACCAGCACTAATTTTCTGGGTCAAATAAAATATACAATAAGATTAAATCAGTATAAGAGCTACACAAATCAACAAAATTAAAATGTCTCTATGTAATGTCAAACTATCAGATTTTCACTAAATGCGTATATATGGCACATACACGAAAAAAAAGTTTTTTGTGTCTGTTTTTTCTTGCCAATCTCTGGAACTTGTGCTACAGAGACAGATATACATTCTGCCTATGATTTATGAAGCCGACTTGATGCATATGTTTAAATTATTAAAAAAGTTATTGTTATATAGACTTGTATTTTTTTTTTCAAATGTAGTTCATGTTACTCTCTGATAATGTAACTGTTTAAAAGTAAAAAATATTATATACAGATATCTATACAAATCAACAAAATTAAAGTATCTGTATGTAATGTCAAACTATCAGATTTTCACTAAATGCGTATGGCACATACACGAAAAAAAAGCGAATCCGGGGCGAGTAGCTAGTATAACATAAAATTGTAATTTCTCCTAATATATTAATCGCTACACTGCTATTTTATGAAGCCGACTGTACTTTACATATAGCGTTACCTCGCCTATGAACGTGGACTGACGTAATTAATATAATTATATGGAATTTGGTCACGATCATCCATTCTATAATATATGTTAATATATTATACGGTACAAATACTGTATTTGCAAATTCTGCTATGTTATCAATGAAACAATTCATTAAATGTTGACTCACACCATTCAGGCTCAATTTATCGTTTTAATTGACTAATAAATATAATATATATGATACTAGCTGTTGCCGCGACTTCGTTCGCGTGGAATTTAACTTTATTCTTCTAAAATAAGTAAGTAAGTTACTCCTTATTACATGATCTACCTGGCAGAAATAGTCCCGTCAAAATCGGTCCAGCCATTTCAGAGATTAGCCGGAACAAACAGACAAAAAGACAAAAATTGTTAAAAAATGTTATTTTGGTGTATGTACCGTATTTATATTCATATGCATGTAGTAAAAAACGGTTATTTCAATATTACAAACAGACACTCGCAATTTTATTGATATGTATAGATTACTACATAATATACAGTACTAGGCACTCGCCCCGGCTTCGCACGGGTGTACATGTATTATATATATAAACCATACTCTAGAATCACTCTATCAATTAAAAAAAAACGCTTCAAAATCCGATGCGTAGCTTTAAGCATACATAGATACGGACAGACAGCGATAGCTATGAATATGTCACTAATGGCAGGCACGGAATACTAGCGCCGTGACAACTGTCAGCTGACACTCGGCATATATATAAATAATATAAGATGATTTTTTGTAATTGTTCTACGTGTATATGTACGGGACGGACAGACAGCGACAGCGACTTTGTTTTATACTATGTAATGATAATTCGCGTGATAAAAAAATTAATAGTAATGATGTAACTGACCACAACTATTGGTTTAAAACAATGAAATACGTAAAGCAATGTATCTAAACAATAATAAATTGTTAATTGTTCTCTCGGGTAATTACGGCGCTATCTGGTCTCTAACTAAGCTGAGATTAAACTGTGGTTATTACTTTTTTTTTAACTACTCTAATGCTGCTGGCCGGGGGTACGGGGATTGTTAGTAATGTGGATTAATAACCCCAATGTACCATGTCATGTCGACCTCCACGCGGTTCCCCCTGGATACCATCGTGTTAAATTCCTGGTGAATTTGTCACGATGGGCTAATTGACCTGACTTCATCATCTTATCATCCTCCACTGGTGCCCCGCCAGCGTAAACCGTTAGCGCAGGCGGGTGCACCATTCCATTATCGGTGTATTATTCCAAGTATAGTATTCGAAGGTCGATGTTGCGGCACGTAACTTCTTGTTACGTGCCGCAACACCGACCACGGCATTGTACCTATCCCGCCTACACTACGCTACCAAGGACATTGTTGACTACATCCGGACTAAAAGCAACCTGACATTGAGGGTGACGCAGTTGGAATCGAGCCACAACGCGAGCTTCAAAGCGTTCGTGGCCCTGGTCCCCACCAATATGCTGCCCACCTTCATAAAGGAGGACTACTGGTCGAAGGGGGTGGTCTATCGGCGCTACCGTGGCAGATTGCCGTCGTCAGTGCCGTGACCATAGAGACAATTTTATTTTTCATATTTTATTATTATTTCTTATGTATGTTAGTCTATAAGGTATTTATAATATGGGCCATGTAGCCTGAATTAAATAAATAAATAAATTATCATCCACAAAAAAAAATGCTGTAGGCCACACATTATATCACACAGCTTTGGTGCGCTAGGAAATAACACCAGCGACGAGATCGGCGTAGAAATAAAAGAAAGTAATTGATTCATTATTAAACAGATACTTAATTAACTCGCTAATAACAGGGATCGAATTACGTTCCTATACAATGTTTTATATTTATTTTTCGACCGACTTCAAAAATGAAGTAGGTTCTCATTTCATTTGTATTTTTTGTTTTCTGTGTTTACTCATTTAGAACTTCCTTAGAAACTTTATTAAAATCAGTTCATTAAATCAGTTTATTAATTAAATCACAGTAAATTGAAGACATTTATTATTTTATATAAGGTACGCACTGGAACTCATTATAGAAAATAAATTATACAAAATAGGAAAAGTAGAGAAAAAATATTTAAAATACAGCATAAAAATAGTAGAAAAAGTTGTCAACGAGAATAGAAATTAAGACTATATTGCATAGTATAGTGGATAGGTAAGTATTAAAAAAAACTGAGCGATATCTTGCCGACAAATTGTTCCGCAGTTTGGCGAGTCAATGTGTAAAAAAAAATGTACATATCTTTATTAAATAAAAAAAATATATATATATACAAACGAATGTCCAATCGATACATATAAATATAAAATTGAAGCATCTGTTTGTAATATTGTAATAATCGTTTTTTACTACATGCATAAAAAAATGTTATTTTGGTGTATGTACCATACATACACCAAAATAACATTTTTTACAATTTTTGTCTGTCTGTCTGTTCCGGCTAATCTCTGAAATGGCTGGACCATTTTTGGGAGTTATTTGTCAGGTAGCTGAAGTAATAAGGAGTAACTTAGGCTACTTTTATTTTAGAAAAATTCTTTAATTTTAGAAAAGTAGTTAAATTCCATGTCGTCATGTGAAGTCGCGGGAACTACTAGTATAGTAATAAAAGAAGGTAATAAAAATAGAAAATAAATAGTAAAATGTAATATAAGCAGTATAAATAGAAATAGAATAATTAGGTGTAGTAATAAAATAATAGTGGACCAAAAACCCTATAAATGTATACCTAAAGTATTAGAACTAGGTTAAGACAAAAAGTGTAAAAATAAAAATGTGTGTATGTAATTAAGTCTAAGAAAAAAGCCTGGAATTTGACATCCGGGGGGACTTGTGGAATAAATAAAAAAAAAATGCTGTTGGCCGCAGCTGGCCTTTACAGCTTCACCGAACGATAGTGACCGAGCGCAGCATTGGTATTCTGTAAGCGTTTCATCAACTCATTTCACTCATAGCTTCACTCAAGGCACTCGTATCACTTGACTGTTGGCCGCAGCTGGCCTTTACAGCTTCACCGAACGATAGTGACCGAGCGCAGCATTGGTATTCTGTAAGCGTTTCATCAACTCATTTCACTCATAGCTTCACTCAAGGCACTCGTATCACTTGACTGTTGGCCGCAGCTGGCCTTTACAGCTTCACCGAACGATAGTGACCGAGCGCAGCATTGGTATTCTGTAAGCGTTTCATCAACTCATTTCACTCATAGCTTCACTCAAGGCACTCGTATCACTTGACTGTTGGCCGCAGCTGGCCTTTACAGCTTCACCGAACGATAGTGACCGAGCGCAGCATTGGTATTCTGTAAGCGTTTCATCGACTCATTTCACTCATAGCTTCACTCAAGGCACTCGTATCACTTGACTGTTGGCCGCAGCTGGCCTTTACAGCTTCACCGAACGATAGTGACCGAGCGCAGCATTGGTATTCTGTAAGCGTTTCATCGACTCATTTCACTCATAGCTTCACTCAAGGCACTCGTATCACTTGACTGTTGGCCGCAGCTGGCCTTTACAGCTTCACCGAACGATAGTGACCGAGCGCAGCATTGGTATTCTGTAAGCGTTTCATCAACTCATTTCACTCATAGCTTCACTCAAGGCACTCGTATCACTTGACTGTTGGCCGCAGCTGGCCTTTACAGCTTCACCGAACGATAGTGACCGAGCGCAGCATTGGTATTCTGTAAGCGTTTCATCGACTCATTTCACTCATAGCTTCACTCAAGGCACTCGTATCACTGACTGTTGGCCGCAGCTGGCCTTTACAGCTTCACCGAACGATAGTGACCGAGCGCAGCATTGGTATTCTGTAAGCGTTTCATCAACTCATTTCACTCATAGCTTCACTCAAGGCACTCGTATCACTTGACTGTTGGCCGCAGCTGGCCTTTACAGCTTCACCGAACGATAGTGACCGAGCGCAGCATGGGTATTCTGTAAGCGTTTCATCGACTCGTTTCACTCGTAGCTTCACTCAAGGCACTCGTATCACTTGACTGTTGGCCGCAGCTGGCCTTTACAGCTTCACCGAACGATAGTGACCGAGCGCAGCATGGGTATTCTGTAAGCGTTTCATCGACTCGTTTCACTCGTAGCTTCACTCAAGGCACTCGTATCACTTTTTTTTTTTTCAGGGCAATTCACACAGCGCCATCTAGACCCAAGTTAAGCTAGCTAAAGCTTGTGTTATGGGTATTAGATAACTGATACATATACATAGATATTTTTTTTGTAAATACATACATATTATACATAGAAAATACCCAGACCGATACAAACAATCATACTTGTGAATACAAATGTTTGTGCCGTGCGAGGAATCGAACCCGCGACCATCGGTCGTAAAGCGGAGTACTAGACCGCTAGACTACCGAGGTCGTCACTTGTTATATTTGACAAGTGATCAAATATAACAATACCCCGATCGTTCGGTGAAGCTGTAAAGGCCAGCTGCGGATATCATTAGAATAGTTCGGAAACACTAACACTATCACTAGTAACCGACATTAAGTTCCTACTGAGCTATCGAGATTGCTAAATTTCTAAATCACTAGGGCCTGTTTTACCACCATCTCCACGTATGGCACTGCAGTCGCTATCGAGTTTTACAGGCAACCAATGTATTATCTCACCGTGGGTTCCACTTTCGAATTTATAAGTGACTTATAGAATAGCTCTACAGATGACACTTCAAACTCGCAGGACTCAGAGAGGCTAAAGGCCAACTACTGTCTGATGGATACGATTTTATCTGAGAGCACCGATAAATAACAGCTAGTTTAAACATGAATCTGTATTTATGTAATCATGTACAAAATCACTTAAATAAAAATCTGTACATATAAATAAAATTGGAGTGTCTGTTTGTACCGTTTTGTACTACACGCATATGAATGTAAATACGCTGCATAGATCAAAGTAACATTTTTTATACAATTTTTGTCTGTCTGTTTGTTCCGGCTAATCGCTGATTTTGGCCGACTTTTATTGCCAGGTAGCTGATGTAATAAGGAGTAACTTAGGCTACTTTTATTTTAGAAAAATAAAGTTAAATTCCACGCGGACGAAGTCGCGGGTCGCGGGCAAGAAATAAATAAAAAAATTGATAAAAATCCCCAAATGTGACACTAGTTTTTTAAGTTAGGTTAAGGTTTTATATAATCTTTAAAGCATATATTGTTTTTCTTTTTTTGTAAATTTCATGTCTATATAAAAGGTCTTAAATCCAGTCCCGGGGATTCTTGCCCCAGAGTCGACGCCGGGGCAAAGAGGCTCGCCACGAGGCCCCAACCTGCACCCTATTAGAGCGGTGCGGATTACCCGGTTCATTGCCAAGTTTATGACAAGAATAAGAGCTGAATTTCTTCCATACTTTTTAGCACGAAAGCACTCCAATTTGAAGTTGTGATACAACTTGTATTTCTTGTAAGACTTTGTAATAGACCTATATGAATAATGATATTTTGATTTGATTCAAACAGGTTCCCATCGAATTACACGAGCGAGGAGGGCGACAACGAAGACTCCGTACATACCTACGCAATGGCGGAAAACGTACTCGATATTGTTGTGAGTATACCCACACTCTGTTATGGCAATATATATATTCAGTGTTAGTTGGAAAGGTCTAAGACGCTAGCACAGTCATATATTACTAATAAGTACTCGGATCTCGCGTGATCTCATTTTTGTTTTATTCCCTCCAAATATGGTACTTACACATAAACAATAGCTACTTTGGTTGATTTCCGGGGACTTAACTCCAGAAGCGGGGAATTAGTTGAGCCCAAACGTAGAGCGGGACGGGAGATTGAATTACGGTGTAGGCTTAGTTAATGTCGTGGTAACAAGAGATGACGGTGTCTCGGCAGGTGGCGCTGTACTCGTTCACGTCCAACAACGAGCAGGAGCTGTCGTTCGAGAAGGGCGACCGGCTCGAGATCATCGAGCGGCCCGCCGCCGACCCCGAGTGGTACCGCGCGCGGGACTCGCGCGGACACATCGGGCTCGTGCCGCGGAACTACCTGCAGGAGCTCGCAGACTACCTCACGCAGCCCTACAGGTACGAGTACCGGGCCCCGAGTGTACCGCGCGCGGGACTCGCGCGGACACATCGGGCTCGTGCCGCGGAACTACCTGCAGGAGCTCGCAGACTACCTCACGCAGCCCTACAGGTACGAGTACCGGGCCCCGAGTGTACCGCGCGCGGGACTCGCGCGGACACATCGGGCTCGTGCCGCGGAACTACCTGCAGGAGCTCGCAGACTACCTCACGCAGCCCTACAGGTACGAGTACCGGGCCCCGAGTGTACCGCGCGCGGGACTCGCGCGGACACATCGGGCTCGTGCCGCGGAACTACCTGCAGGAGCTCGCAGACTACCTCACGCAGCCCTACAGGTACGAGTACCGGGCCCCGAGTGTACCGCGCGCGGACTCGCGCGGACACATCGTCGTGCCGCGGAACCGCGCGCGCAGACTACCTCACGCAGCCCTACTACGCGCGCGCGCGGGACTCGCGCGGACACATCGGGCTCGTGCCGCGGAACTACCTGCAGGAGCTCGCAGACTACCTCACGCAGCCCTACAGGTACGAGTACCGGGCCCCGAGTGTACCGCGCGCGGGACTCGCGCGGACACATCGGGCTCGTGCCGCTCGCAGACTACCTCACGCAGCCCTACAGCCGCGGAACTCGCGCGGACACATCGCAGGGAACTACCTGCAGGAGCTCGCAGACTACCTCACGCAGCCCTACAGGTACGAGTACCGGGCCCCGAGTGTACCGCGCGCGGGACTCGCGCGGACACATCGGGCTCGTGCCGCGGAACTACCTGCAGGAGCTCGCAGACTACCTCACGCAGCCCTACAGGTACGAGTACCGGGCCCCGAGTGTACCGCGCGCGGGACTCGCGCGGACACATCGGGCTCGTGCCGCGGAACTACCTGCAGGAGCTCGCAGACTACCTCACGCATAAAACTTCACAATTTTAAAGATTTCTTTGTACAAGAAAAGTTTTGTACCATTGGTTTTTTTTAATTTTATTTGTTAATTTGTCTGGGACATATTGTGACATATGTGATTACGTCTATTTAAGATAAACAATTTTCTTGACATAAGAAGGATTATGCCAGATATATGTCCAAACTAGAATTCGTATCAGTAAAGTGTCGGTGCGGTGTGGTTGCAGCGAGGCGGGCGCGGGTGCGGGCGGGGCGGGCGGCGCGGGCGGGGCGGGGGGCGGCGCGGGGGCGGGGGCGGGCGGCCGCGCGTGGTACTACGGCGCCATCACGCGCACGCACTGTGACGCCATCCTCAACCAGCACGGACACGACGGGGACTTCCTCATACGAGACTCGGAGACCAACGTACGCATTATAATTGTATTACTTTGACGCTTTCGGTGGTTTAGCGATTTAGTACAGCGCCATGCTCCCGATGGTTGAGGGTTCGATTCCTTTTACTAGGTACAAAAATCTATAATCTATCAACAATCTATCGGTAAGGGTGTTTTCTTTATATATTATGTATGTATATACAAAAAAAAAAGTATTTAAGTATTTGTATCAGTTGTCTAGTGCCCTTAACACAAGCTCTGCTTAGCTTAGGACTAATGGCTCTGTGTGTTTTTATTATTGTTATATGGTAACTTATTTATTTGTGTCAATTATTTAATATCCATAACGCAAGCTCTGCTCACTTCGGGACTAAACGACACTGTATGAGTTTTTATTATTGCTATATGACGACGATTGCCACTCCACTCGGGCTGGCCGTTTGCCATTCGAGCTGCTCAGAACAGAATAGAGTAGCAGCGGTGTATACGCATGTAAATGATGGCGGTGGCAGGTGGGCGACTTCTCGGTGTCGCTGAAGGCGCCGGGCCGCAACAAGCACTTCCGCGTGCACGTGGAGGGCGGGCTGTACTGCATCGGGCAGCGCAAGTTCCCGACGCTGGAGCAGCTGGTGCAGCACTACCAGCGCGCGCCCATCTACACCAACAAGCAGGGCGAGAAGCTCTACCTCGTGCGGCCGCTGCCGCGCGCGCCGCCCGCCTGCTGAGCGCCGCACCTCTCCGCCTCCGCTCTCCTCCGCGCTCTCCTCCGCGCTCTCCTCCGCGCTCTCCTCCGCGCTCTCCTCCGCGCTCTCCTAAGCGCTCTCCGTCTCGATGTTATTTTGTACCGCAAGCTCTTCGCGCCGCGATCCGCTGCATCGCTCGCTCCGGTCGCGCGCCGACGATGTCGTATAAACAATTTTTTGTACTTTATTTAACTCATTCGTATCTGTAACGATAATGTTATTAGTGTGCGTTTTATGAATATTACAGAAAAACTATTATGCTGCGTATAAACATGTACGAGCGGTAGTATATGAATTGTGAAGATTGTTTGTTTTTAAATTGAAACGAACCGATTTAGTAGTGGGAGTATCGCAAGGGTCAATTATAGGTCCTTTCCTTTTTTTCATTTTATACAAGTATTTATGTGATGCATAAAAATCCAGTTAAAGTACAGTACAGTTGGCGATATTTTAATGTTTATATTACAATTAAAATATTAGTAATTTATAGCTAATATTACTAAATAATACTGCTTGTCTTGTCCTACAATGCATTTATTTTATTTGAAGAAAAGTTGCATTTTTTATTTTATGAATGATCCATTATATTCGAAACAATTATTGTTACCAAAGTATAACTTTTTATCTGTTGTTACCTTTATTTTTTAGTTAAAGGCCTTGACTTGTATAACCTTACATTTCTATTCTCTTTAAGGGCAGCCATATTGAGTAAGTTGTGTGAAACACAGATGGTATTCCGAAGTTCTTGATTACAAAAAAAAAAAGATTATTTACTGTAAGTGCTAAATAATTCTGTGACAAAAAACAACCATGTTAGTACTATTTAGGTATTATAATAGTATACGCTAACTGTCAGGTAGACTGTCAGAGTATTAGCAACGACGCAGATCCTAAAACTTGAAATATCGAATGAATTGAAACATTTTACTATTAATAAATTACTTTATAATAAGTATTAAGTATAATTTACTTTAAAATTATCTGGCCCTAAATAAAACGAATTATATGAGACAGACGTTTCAGAGGAAACGGCACGAATTTGTCAACAATGTTCACATAATTTTGAACAGTATATGTAAATTTTTTAAATTAATCGCTTAAAACTAAGCCACAAACCTGTTGTTAATGTATGAAATCGAGTATAAGACTACAGTAATAATCCTAAATGATAAACCAGTATGTTGACGCCCTTCTATATATTATTATAAAATAATAAACAGTAATTGCTATTCCAATTAGTCAGTTATTATGGATGCATATAATTGTCAGTTGTTAAAAAACTTATTCGCGTTTATTATTTTGCATCTGTTTTACTATACCCTTGCATTAATACCACTATTGCATCAAGTAACCCTAATATTTTAAAAGCTTCAAATGTACGGAATACGGTAGCATTTTTCGATGACGTATACCATTTTAATAGAATTGGACTGTTTTCTTCTATCACTAATATTTTTATAAGCGTGTTTGGAAATTTTACTGTGTTTTCAACTTTGCCGACAATTGTTTTAGCTTCATCTTTAAATTCATCTACATGCTTCTTCCTATTGACCAATAATTGCAACAGTCTCTCGCACACAGCGCAGTGCGTATTTATAAAAATATTAGTGTAAAAATGAACGTAAGTTTTAAAAATAATATCGATATCACTAAACGTATATATATTATACTCTATCTCGATGGATAGACTAGAAATGAATGTAATAACAGATAAGCTAGCAACACTAATATTTTTAACTACTAAACTTTTCATAGACAATTTACTTAAATGTATCCACAACATAAATATTCACATTTCTGCATTTATATGTTCATTCCAAATATAAAAATAGTATGTACGATCGGCCGCCATTAGGAAGGGTTATGTGCGAGTTTTATAGTGGATATAACAAATGAATTGGATGGATTTCTCACTTGTAATGTTCGTTGGGTATTGCTAGTTTAACCTTCTCAGAGCATTTGTACTGTTTGCAAAATCTGTATTATTTGTGAATATTCAAACATCATCGTCATCAGCATGTGTTTCTTTCTTATCCAATTCATTGTCCTTTCTATTATTACTTCCATCACCGTTCGCAGTCATCTCGTTATTATATTTAATAATAATAATAACAATACTTTATTTGCCAAATGTAGGTAAACAATAAGGTGTTAAAAATATGTTGTTGAGATCCGTACATTAACCTCGTAAGAGGTGTGCAAAATTTCAAATTGTAGGTACAATGAATGTTTAATTAAATAAAATTACTGTACTACGTCATCATACCGATAGTCATTAATCAATTGTCTTTACGTGAATGTATCAGTCAGGAAATCACCAACAGTGTAGTAAGTTTTACCAATTATGTATTTATTATTTATTACTAGCTGAGCCCTATATTTACCTATTCTGACCCCGCAAACTCCGTTCAACCTCAAAATTAAATATGTCAAAGGTGTTGAAGTTTAGTTCTGCTATAAATTTCTGAACGCACCCTCTTTGACAGGTATCAGCAGTCTGTATGGAAAAATAAATTCGTTGTTTTTACTATTTTACATGTAATTTCTTCAAATTTTATCACCTTAAACCTTTCGTAGACTTCCACAAATACTTCAAGACGAAAATTAGCCAAATCGGTTCGACCGTTCTCGAGTTGCGGCGAGACTGACGAACAGCAATTCATTTTTATATATACCTATAGATATATATATATTTAATATAATGTTTATCAACGCTTTCTGTATATCTAAAGGTCAGCTCGTGGAGAATGGCATACGGCATTAAGCACGCTTTTTGTACATATTATAATGTGCATTAAAGAATAAAAAAAATAATCCCGTTTAAGGGGCGGTACACTCGACTACGTTATTTTGTGAGGAATCTATCCATTTCATCCTAATATATTCTAATCTAGTATAATGATGCGTTGAAACAACGCTGCTCTTACTACAATAATAAACCAAAAATTGGCTTCTTACCGCATCTCTAATTATAACTATAAGCGTTCTTATATCATATTGTTTAGGTATAAGTTTCTGTAAGAATGTAGCGTAATTTTTCAATGGTTTAAACTGAACCACGGTTTATAGATAATGCGACAGTTGACGTATCGTGGTTACAGAACGATATTTAGGTAATGTCACCTCCATATTGTACCTACGAATGCTTCAGATGAAAAGATTATGTGATCATTATAAATAGTATAATGTGTACACGTTACTCTATATTCATAAGAGCGTATCAACGTATTTGCTATTCAGATAGGTTGTCTCTTTCTCTCACATTAGATTTCTAATATGACAGAAAGTGACAAAGTATGTTAATAGTTAAATAAGTTGATTTGGAGATACGTTTCTGTGAATAGTATGGTTAGGTGTGCGCACAGTGCAAATGCGATGCAGTGGATATTTAAGTCGGATCTATAACAGTGCAACGGGCCTGTTCTAACGAACGTGTTGTAATCTGTTCATTAGATTTTTATTTGTACAGTCAACAGACGTAAGCTTTTACGATAAGACAAAATATAAACATAGCTTTATTAGTGTAAGCTATGACGTAAGCGGTAAAAGTAGTCTAATGCTAGTTAGAGTGGCGCTGCATCTATCGTATGGCTATATAATCTGTGTGATTAAGATAATTTGGTTGAAAGAAAAGGACGGTTGAAGCTAAAATATATTTGAGATTTTTATAAATAAGAGGACAAGTGTTTTAAATCGCTAATTCCTAATTAGAAGGAATTTATGTGATCTATATCAGATAGTTCGGAGATAAAGTCGGATAATAAAAGAATACGAATGTTGACTGTATGAAATGACCACAAGCGAAGTAAAGTTCGGCCTGACAGGTCGGGATCGAATGGGCGATGTAACTTTGAACTGACGTACAATTTACGGCAAACTTTTTAATATCTTTTATTTGCCTTATTAACGAGTGATAACATTAGAAATGTAATAATTATTCCAAATTACAATAAACGTATTAATTATGAACTATTAACTACTTAATAAATATAAAAGCAATATTTTTTAAAAATGAAACCATAACTACGCTGTTTCAAGGTTATGTCAACTGTTTGTTTCTATAATCAAATCCTATTCGATCTCGACCCGTCAGAAACGCACTCTGAGCGGCCGGAAATAGTATAGTTCCGCTAGCGGGATGCAGTGTGCGCACATCTTAATTAAATGTTGTGATGTTTGGCAACATAAATGTATTATGTAAGTCATTGTCAGGGAAGAACGTGGATTGTGGACAGGGCCGTCTTTACCCGGGAGTTCAAGGGGTGCAGCCGTCCCTAGGGTTCCTAGGGGGCGCTAGAAATCAGGTTTTATTAACACGTTAAAGACCGCATGCCCAACGGGGGTCGGAGGAGTTGCGGTGTGCAACGAAAGTAAATTTACACGTTGGGATCGGGTGATCACCCGTGGGCACTTTAATCGAATTAAATGTAGGGGTACCTCAAATTATTGTACACTAAAAACATATTTAAAAAAAATATACGTAATTAAGAAAAAAATGCGGTCCCTATGTGAGGAATAAGATTTTTCAATACGATCTTCAACGTGCTAACCTCTAAACCCATTTCTTTTGCTCACCCCGGCCCCATATGTTTAAGACGGCGCTGTATGTGGAAGTGGGATTTTGTACTTTTTTACAAGTCACGACGCGTGGCCACGTACCAACTATTGATGATTTTAAGTCTGACTAGTGAGAATTCATAGTCTTAACTCTTCTCCGTCAATCTTCCTACGTTTTAGTATTGCGACAACGAATTAGTGTCCCATATGTACGTGCTGAGCTACCATCTCAGTTTAAATTAACATTGGCCGGTATTTTTTTTATTTTTATACATATTTGTATTCTTAAGTACGTCTGGTTATTGGTCTGAGTCTTTATTTTGTAATAAATGAACGAATTTAAAAAAATAAGGAAAGAACAATCGGGTTTGAAAATAGTTTGAATTTGGAACAAACGTCCAGTTGACATAAGAGTTTATAGAAAT